TTTACAACTTCGATAAGTTTACAATAATAACTTATATTTACGCGAACACTACACATTAAAGAAATTATCGTGTTTAATGTTGCCTCTTTTATTTCCAACGTTTCGGGTGCTGTACAGCACGATCTGTCGCGCCTTTGATAAAGTGCAGCACGTGCCGAGGCGTTGAGGTACAAAAGCGACATTATTTAAGCGAACAGACTATACACCAAGGAAAATTAAACTAAAGAAACGCCTCGAAATCGAAAGAAATAGCATAAAAAGTCTTCAATCGCAGTAACGGTATTTAAACAAAAAAGTTCCAAGTATGCAAGAAATACTAGATCCGTTGACAGTGATATCTTTGATAAATAAAGAAAACAAACAAGTCCCACAAAAGAAAATAACTGAAGAAAGCGAACTTTTAAACAGACAATTTCTTAAAAGTAAGTCTGGAAAATTACCCAGAACTAAATATTCCACAGACTTAAGATGTTTCGCCCTACAACTTAATTATTAACGAAAAGCCTATCGCTATGTACGTAAAACTTTTGGAACATATTATTTGCCTTTTTTAAATAGAATAAGGGTGACAAACGAGCGCACAATCCACCTGATGGTAAGAGGATGCTGTGGCCCATAGACATGTACCTTTATCCTCGATTAAGAATCAAAACGCAGATGCGTTGTCACCCCTGAGGACTAAGATGGAATGCCTCATTTCCAGTAAAAAAGGGTCTTCGTATCTCTACATTCACATACGAAACACAGCAGTATCAAACTGCTATTTTACGCTGGTATTCTGTGAGAGCGTGGTCCTTCCCGGTCGAGCCGACTCATTCGTGCTACAACCATAATATAGCTGCAGCGTGGCTCTACCGCGTATTGAAGTAAAAGTACAGTCTGCACCACGGATATTGAGTAAGCGGTACAGTATCAACAATGGCCAATCAGGGTTTACTCAAGAAGCGCTGATGACACTAAAATTGAGAGCAGAGAGTAAAAAACCCTATAAAATAAAAAAAATTGTACCTTGGTCATGGATGAAATGAAAATTAAGCAATTGACGGAATACCATGCTAGCAGCCAAAGGCATTATGGCTATGTTGACTACGGGTTTGATATTACATCCGATACTTACGACGCATTAGTGTTTTAATTTGTCTGTATAAATACAACGTGGAAATATTACCATAACATAAGCAAAATTTTGATTAAATTTGAATTAAAAGCTAAGTTTAATCAGTGTTTCAAAAACTGGCCATAATTCTTTTAAGTAATAAAATTATAATTTTATATTAAACTAAAATACCCTTCACTTCTGGCCGTATGAGAAAGCTCAGCGAGCTATGGAGACGGCTGTGCTCGGGGTTTGCTGTACGATAAACTTAGAAATAAGGATTTTTTCTTTGCGGTCAGCAGTCTGTCATCACGTAGAAGGGAGTACTTATTGACAGAGAGACCTTTGAAGACCTTAGGACTGAGGTAGGTCTCCTGGAGGGGGAGGAGGTCGGCTTCGCGATCTCGAAGAGAGCTTAAGTTCAGGGAGGTTATTACGCAAACTGTGGGTATTAAAGGATACAAGCGACAAACCCTTTGGCTTAATACGACCGTGTGATATGGCGGGAGCAGAAGACTCTGACATTATGTTGTTTTTATTATAACGAACTCAAGAGATTGTGATGCTCAACAAGAACAAGGAGGCGGTGTTGAGGGGACTGAGCAGCGCGCAGTTTGCGTTTTAGGATGGTAATCTTCTCTATGTAGATGCTCTGAATAGCGGTATACACCGTATTCAGACCATAGGTGAGGCTTGTGCCTGGTTTGGGGCAGTGGAAATCTGCGGGGGTCAGTCTTTTTGGGGCCCAAAGGGATAACAGGGGGCAGTGAGAGCTGAGAAAGGCCAATAGGGGCCCGAGAGGGCCGATAGATGCCCTGAGTGGGCTGAGACAAGCCCTGAGGGACTGAGACAGGAACAAGCTCTGACGGTGCATTCGGCTTGGGAGAACCGGGAATGATTGGTCATTGACCGGTAGTGGAGCTGGTCTGGCAGCTTTGGTAAGATGGGGACGAGAAGCGCGAGGGCAGCCTCTGTAGTTAGCCGGGTGGCCGACGTGAAGTTTGTATATTTGGGATGTGTATTCAGCAGGGATGGGAGATAAGATAAAGATATAAAACGACGAGTGAATGCAGGAAATAAAGTGAATGGGGCTCTACACTCTGTTGTGAAAAGTCAGAATGTGTCAAAAAAGGCACGTATGGCAATTCACAATTCACAGTATTAGTCTCTACTTTAACGTATGGTAGTGAAAGTTGGGTGTGGCGGAAGGAACACGAGAGTAGAATAAATGCAGTAAAAATGCGGTCGCTAAGGAATATATTGGGGCTGAATTTGAGTGACAGGGTGAGAAATTGTGTGATAAAAGAAGAGTGGGGTTTGCAAGATGATACTGTAACCGGGATTAAGAAAGAAATGCTTCGGTGGTTTGGACATGTATGAGGAAAGAGTGACAAAGCAAATTTATGTTGCAGAAGTGAACGAAAGAGTTGGAAAGGGACGTCCTAGGCGAAAATTTATTGACCAAATTGGCGATATATTGAAAATGGGCCAAATTAGGAGTACCCTTTACCGACGATCATGTATATGTATGCGTAAGAATTTGGATGTGGAGGAGGCGAGAGAGGTGTTTCAGGATTGTGCTAAATGGAAGTCTGTAGTCTTTGCCTACCCCTCTGGGTAAGAGTACAATTATAGCTTATTCTGGGAGTATCTATAGTGCTAAGCTATGTGCGTATGATATTGGGTTAGATTAATTCTCCGACTCAGGGAATAGGCGTTAGCTTTTCCTGCGACTACCGAAAAATAAAACACTAGATTTTTCATTGTTATTTTTTGTAAAGGTCTTCTCTGTATCATACAAATTAATAATTTACTAAATAGATGTTGATGATGAAGATGATGATGTTCAAAACTAATAGAATTTGCATTATACTTCCTTTGTATGTTAAAATACTCTTAATATTTTTGTAGGTTATGAATAAACAAGTTGTTGTTCGGAGTGATATCCTACTTCCGTCTCTATTTATTGTTGATTCAACCCCTTCTACTTATCATAGTGTACCTTTGGAAGTATCTTCACTGCGCCCTTCTACAAGCTCATCGGACCAACCTCCAGAAAAGAAATTTTGTTCGTGTTATAAAGATGTAGCACAGTTCAGACAGAAATGTACAGACATAACAGCCCTGCAGAAGATAATTTAAAGCGTTAAGTGAATGTTTTATAACTTAGATTAAATAGACGTGAATCTAAATCAAACAATTTAGAGTTCATTCAAATCGAATTGCAATTATTTAAAGCATTAGCTAATTCATATTCAAATTTAAGAATGTTTCATCATGCAAAATGTAATGTCCTGAAAACCTTAGGTAGATACGGCATAAACTCCACAAAACGATATTATTTAACCATGTTTGATTTTATTAAATGTTTTTCATTACTTAGTTTTGACGCCTTCTTTTGCATTTGCACAAGAAAAAGATAGATTTATGGATACGTCTTGCATAGAAATGAGACAGAGCGGTGTGATTGTTTGTCCCTTTCTCCGTGCCGGTTTTTTGTTTGGCAAACTACACTTTGCTAAACAACTTTGACAGTTCGTAGCGATCTAAAGTTGCGGAGTTGGTTTAAGTGAGAAGAAAGTGTTTTGTGAGCTTAAGGTTGGTGTAACTTGTTCAGTTCAGTTCTTAGAACAATTAAAGTTTAAAAGTCATAAAGATTATTGTATAACCTAAAACTACGTTATCGTCCTTTCTCACTCGAGGCCACGCTAATAATTAGTCTATAGGTTTCTCTGTCTACGCTTCGTGGCAGGCGTGTAACTTACCCAGTGCATACACGAGACAGTTTATAACGCTATTTGTACGCTGCCGACTGCCTCTATAGCACAATTTTCATGTTTTCACAACGGGTGAATCTTGGAAAGCATTTAAAGTTAATTTATTAGTATTTTTTTGATACTTCCAACGGAATGCGTAGCTAAATCAAGTGAAAAAAAACATGCGGTGGCGGCGAAGTACATGTATTTCCTTCCATGGGTGGCGGCTAATTCGCCGCTGTCATCGGGGTTGCCATTTGCATATATGCCTTTTGGTATTCAATTTGCAGTCAAAACTCAGTTAGGTTGCAATCTACTAGCATACCAACTACAGGCTTGTCTTATAACATATACATATGATTGTAGCTGATATAGAACTGAACACCGTCTAGCAAAAAAATTTAAACACTACATAGTCTAATGTTAAATAAAGTGATATATAACACAAGCTTTTGTATTAACTGGACACAAATAACTTATCTTTCAAAGCGACCTTTCCTGTATGTAATAAAAAGTTTGGTCACATTGCTAGGAGAGATAAATGGCCTCGGTAGTACATATCCCTACTAGCTCGTTTTTTTGGTACACATACATAGTCCTGTTTGTGGAGTACGTTCATGATATCGACTAGCTTGATAAATATTTATCAATCTATGGTCCACTGCCCCATATCATCCCGTGAGTGTCGTTAGAGGTGACAGAGGAAAACAAATCGGGATATGGGCAGCAGCGATTTTCTAATAACCACTATAAATAAAAACTGCGGTTCCCAACCATCCCAAATATTCCCTTGTGAGTTAATCTATGGGCGAGGCTTATGTTCAGCGGTGAACTTTAATAGACTATACGTACGTGTAACGGTATGTACTTGACACCGGTAAATAATAAATATACTGGTAGTTTCTTTTTCTTTTCTTTTAATCGTTCGTTTCTCGGCTGAGAAAAAAAATATTTCCAGATTTCTGTAATACCCGAAGAAATGAATACCTACAAAACTATGTTGTTTATTTTCTAGCTTTGTCTTTTTTTAATAGGAATTGTAGTTTAATAATATGGTATCACTCTTGCAGTATTTTTGTACATAATCTGGCATTCTTGCACACCGTAATTTTTATAATCAGTGGCAACCCAGGCCCCAGCCTTGTAATATGGCCGCTACAGGTTAGTTTTAATAATTTTGTCATGTGTAAAACCTTTAGTTTCTGATAAATATATCACTTATTTATCAATTTCTCATGCTACTTCAAATGTTACTATGGTCTGTTCAATTGGAGGTTTAGACAAAATCCTATAATTTTCTTACTATTAATGCTAACGTGTCATTTTTTTATCCTCCGCAGACGTTTGGATTTACCGCGTGGCCACATTTCATAACGTTTCATTTTATTTTACTCTTTATTTAAATACTTTTTCTTTTTTAACGTACCTGTAAATTATCTCAAAAATGTTAAAATTGGCTAAACCTGATGTCATTGTCCTTTCAGTGTGTCCACGACCGCTTTCCAAAATCGTCCTAGGTCGATTACTAAACTTGTAATGCGTCATCCTTCGTGGTACCTGATGTACTCGACGATTTATTTTTCATTAAAATTTGATTTGTGTTCATATCACATTTTATAGGCAAGAAATCAAAGAAGGCAAAATGGATCAAAGCGAACATGGGTGTCATCATTGCGGAGCCGACGACGATAGCGACGACAAACAATTGGGCCGACTCTGTAGATGAAGAAAGTAAGTACCTAGCAATTTGAGCAGTTAGTATTCACAAATATGGCCCGATGATGATGCAGGGTAATGGCAAGTCAATGTTAATCTCGTACTTGGGACACACACACAAGTGCTTGTCACTTACAACGTCTCGGGAAGGTCTGAGTAAAGGTATCTGTGTTTTTAACACATTCTAGCCGGATGCTTCCTTAACAAGGAAGGCAAGGGGACCAGAAATTATAGTACAATGTTTAGCCTATGATGCCATTACTGGGGTGTTTGGAGGAGGCATAGATATTGTTACTATTGAAATCCTTTGCAACCAGCAATTTTAGCACAATTTACGAGATGACAATTGTCACAACTCAATTCAGACTAGTCTTTCATTGACTTGCTCCCAATTATAACTGAGGGCATTTATATATGTTAATATTTTTATTATTTACTTGTATGTATTCCATTCAATTGAATATATTTGCACATTGATTATTTCATAAATTATTTCTATTAGTGACCTGCCTGGGCTTTGTTCAGATTGGATTTGTTTATGAGGCACTGTTAGGTTTAAGATAATAAAGGATCACTTAATTTTATCAAGTTTTTTTAACATATTCAAAGTTTTTGAATAAAATATAACCTTGGTCATTCCTGGCACTGTTTTCCTTGATGGTAAAATATATCACAATCAGTTCAACTATCCCATAGATTACCCTGACAGATAGACAGACATTTAAAAAAAAAAGTTATTATCTTATTTGCATGTAAATAACCTCCCAAGGTTACTAAATGCCAGGTATTTCAATATTGCACACAGACACTTCAATTTAATTTATATGAATAGATAAATGCAATTCAATGATTGAAACTACAATACTGAGATCATAGTTGGTAAACTTTGAATCAATTAATGAAATATGTGGTAGAGCCACTCTGCAGCTATTATGGTTGTAGCATGAATGGGTCGGCTCGAACGGGGAAAGACCACACTCTCGCAGAATACCAACGTAAAATAGCAGATTAATGCTGCTGTGTTTAGTATGGTGAGTGTAGAGAACCGGAGACCTGTTTTACTCGAATCAAGGCATTCCATCTTAGTCCTTAATAGTGACAACACATCTGCATTTTGATTTTTAATCAAAGTTTAATGTAGATGTCTATGGGCCACAGCATCCACTTACCATCAGGTAGACTGTGTGCTCGTTTGTCAACCTTATCCTATAAAAAAAATTTACTTTCATGTGGTAATAATGACTGACATGAATTTTTTCACCTGTGTTTTTAATACACTCACCGGCACGGAAACTTGGCCAAGCGGTTATCTCGCGATAGCAAAAGCTTTAAGTGTTTCTGATGAATGTTTGTTATGCAAGTATGTCAAAAAATGTTTACCCTCAAGTTCAAGAGGGTAATTCATTATGTTTAAGTGCACCATGACGAATTCTTTAATTTTTAGTTGAATCGGGTCATTTGAGCGACTAAGTTCACATTTTAAATTTGTGTGTTGTGAAAAGTTTACTGTAAGGTTATTCAATTATTGTGATCTTGTGTCTTAATTAAATAACTAAAGGTGCTTTAAAGCCAATAAAAATGCCATTAACACCAGCACAAGTTGCACAAGCAGTAGCATTAATTGACCAAGGGCTGACACAGCGTGAAGTTGCTATTGTGCTTAACGTACCACGGTCCTCAATGCAGTATTCACTGAAACGATACCAGGAGACAGGCCGCTACACCCGCAGGCCAGGCAGTGGGGGCGTAAGGTGCACATCGGCCCGGGACGATCGTTTTATTGTTATGGAGATTTTGAGAAACCGCTACCTGACCGCTGTTGAGATACACCAGCGGCTCCAAATCGCAAGAGGCGTTAATGTTAGTGAGCGTACGGTGAGAAGACGAATGGAGGAAGTGAATTTAAAAGCTCGTAGACCAGCACGAGGTCCAAACTTCTCAGACAGCACCGAGTAGCCCGACTTCAGTTCGCAAGAGAACATGTCAATTGGACCCACGAGCAATGGGCTAGAGTGTTGTTCACAGATGAGTGTCGAATAGCTTTACGTGCTCCAGACGGTTGAGAACGAGTGTGGAGAAAAAGAGGAGAGAGGTTTCTACCCATTACCACCACCCAAACTGTGAGTTTCCATGGAGGCTCAGTAATGGTATGGGGAGGTGTAAGTTCCAACGCACGTACAGAGTTGGTCATCGTCGATAATCTACTTACAGCTACTCGATACATCGAGGAAGTTCTTCAGGAGCACGTAATGCCTTATTCGGGATTCATTGGACACGACCAATTCCTCCTCATGCACGATAATGCACGCCCGCACGTCGCACATTGTGTAGAGGAATATCTGGAAGAGGTTGGAATACAAAAATTACAGTGGCCAGCTCGTAGCCCGGACTTAAATCCAATTGAGCATGTATGGGGTATGCTCTAAAGAAAGATAAAGTCCAGCTCCAAACCGCCACAAACTCTAAATGAGCTCCGAAATGCAGCGCTGGCCGCTTGGGACAGCATACCGCAAGTTGATGTCAGAAACATCATTCAAAGCATGCCAGATCGAATGCAAGCGGTTATCAGGGCTAGAGGAGGAAACACCCGATATTAAAACTGATAGACAATAAAGAAACAGACTTAATTTTTAACTTTGTAGTGTTTTTAAAGTGACAATGGAAAGATGTTAATTTTAGTGAAAACATGTTATCTTGAAAAGAAAAATTTCGGTGAAGTAAACATTAAATTTCTATGTTCTAAAACCATTAGAGACACTTATTGAATGCATCTACCCTTAATTTACTGTTAAAAAAACGTTTCAGTGCAAATAATCAGCAAATTCACGAGTGGCCAAGTTTCCGTGCCGGTGAGTGTATTTATTATCTGTGGAAATTAAACGTCATTGTAGCTTACTTAACATCTTATCTTTCCCATAAAAAATCCACTATTAGTCTAAGGATCACCACCACACTTGGGTGATGGATTAAAGTTCACAGTATAAAATCCACAAGTAAACTAAACAGTTGCATATAACAGGGTCGAACTATTTAATTGTACTGTACAGTATTGTTTGTTTGGGTATTTTATATTCATCATATACAAGATGTTTATTAGTGTTTTTTTGCAAAAGCCGATTGTCAGCTTTTGTTGTAACCTTTGACTGAAGCCAAAGATTGAATTCAGCTTACATTTTTTTTGCATTAGCAACAAGTAAAGATAATTAAGACATTAATTACGACTATATGAATATTTTCTTTTATTTACTAGAAAACTCAGAGTATTTAAATCTATTGATTTATTCATTAATACATAACAATAAAATTATTAAAAAAAAAACTTATTAGTTAACTATCACAACTAACTTATTAGCATGCTACTTTTTTTAAATTGATTTATGGAATGTTATAAAAGCATCTAGATTTTCTTGGTGCAGTATAGAGTATGTAATAACTGATTCATAGATAACTTAGAACTTCTCTTACTTTACAATTTTGCTTAGTTCAAAAAGCAACTGAAATAGTGTACAATATAATGATGTGTAACAATGGGCAAATATGTGCTCAAATATCCCTTTAAATTATTTGAGAATAAAATTATTATCTTTATGATGAATGCAGACCTCTAAGGATGACCTCCTACATTAAAAGTGAAAGGGTTAATTTTAAAAAGGCCTATAGTAATGGATCCCAGATTCAATTAATGTCTGGCAAAATAACTTCAATGCTCTCATATTCTCATAGAAAGATCTATATACTTTAAGGAAGCCATAGAACTATTACATGTATGCTGATACCCCTCCCACTTTACTTTAGGCCAGCTGTTTATGGAAATATGTAATGGATAAGACCTACCACCTGCAAACATTACAACTTTGTTTTAGCAGTTCTAGAGATATTTATACTGGATAATTGATTTTGTCTCAGTTACAGTCATTTAAAAAAAAAACTAATATAGTTAAAAAAATTACAAGCATAAATAGCAAAACAAAGGTTATGTTTACATTGTTAGTAAGTTGCTAACTACACTGTGATCCCCATGAGGAGGTAAACTGAAATGAGTGCTAGATTGAAAATTAATGCATTCGAATGACTGTTACCTTTTGGCGGAATAGTTTTTCTGTTAGTCGGTTGCTACAATAACTATGCTGCCTAAGTACTTTTTTGTATAGTGATGTTTAAATAAATAAAAATTGAATGTTATCAATTTGCTTTAAAAAAAAATAGAATAGCTAATTATTTGTGGCAAATTTACGTTATTTCTGTTCTTACAACTAGTGGCAGGATATTCCTTTTTAGGAATGTTTCTAGTGGGGGGACCCTTTAATTTTTAATTTATTTGTGTTTTGTTGTTATAGCTGCAACAGAAATAAACATTCTGTGGCATTTTCGGTATAGTTAGTACGGAAAGGTAAAAAAAAGGTATGGAACCTGAAGGATAACCAACGGGACCCTATTATTAGGCCTCCGCTGTCCGTCTGTCTGTCTGTCAGCAGGCTGTATCTCATGATCTGTAATAGGTAGGCAGTTGAAATTTCCACAGAATGTGTATTTTTGTTTCAGCTATAACAACATTAAAAAAATTAAAGGATCCCCTACTAGAAACCTTTTTTTTCCTTCTTTTTTTTCTCCATCTTAACAATAGCAACAAGTAGACGTTTGAAATACTCACAAAGTTCGTAATTATATTTGCTAAACGAAATCATATATAAAATAGAATTATATTTAAAAATTGAAGGGGGTTCCAATACAGAGGAGACGTGTTTTTTCTTTTACAAAAGTATTTAAAAAGTACCTACATAGTATTAAATCTTGTACGATGGTATGGAACCCTTCATTCGCGAGTCGGACTCGCACTTGGCTGGTTTATTTTACAACCACTAGTGGCAGGCTAGAAACTTTCATGTTTTATTTGGCTCAGTAGCGAAGCCTCCATAGAAGCCGAAAAGCCAGGCTTGCCCTTTCAAACTGCTCAATTAATAATATCAACTAATAAAATAACTCGTAAACTGTTTCAAACTATTTCAAATTTCCCGCACGCTCCTCTGTTCTACACAGGTCATGACCTCATAGCTTTATTATGTAACCTCGACACTTGGCAGTTTGCTTTCATTCGAAATACACTACACAATGGACTGTCAAAATTAATGAATGCAAAGAGTTGATTTAAGCGATTTAGTCGTCTCTCTCGCACGCGTGGGCTTTTTACCGGGCTTTCGAGATTACAATCGCTCCCTTTCTAACCTGTGGCAAAATGTTCTGTAATGAAACGTAACGAAATGTTTATATAGCAAATTAGTATGCACCAAAAAGCCCAGCTTTCGTATAAAGTTGTTTTCGAGTGCGGGGGCGCGCGGGCGATACGTTTGCTAGTTCACTTCACATTTCAATGTTTACTCCGTTTGTTTTTGTTGTGTCTGTTGAAAATTTATGCTTTTTTAAAGATTTTTAGTGAAAATGGAGGATAATAGTGTTCCTTGTGATGAATTGATGTATGTTAATCGGCGAGGAAAAGGTAAAATCTTTAAACTTTGTTGAGAAAATACACAAGGTCAAGAGCGTCTATCGGACTTATGAATTATCGCAATTGAAGAACAGTTATTGGTACAATTAAAACGTTCACTAACATTTTACGTGGACATAATCTAATGTTTCCTTAAGAAAGGGACACGATTCAATTTTGAATATAAATAATTTTTTTTTTTTGTGCACAGTTTGTCCTTTGTTCATGTATAGTATTGTATGTAAATATCTTTTTCTTTCGCTCATGCAAACCCAAATGGCTTTTTTCAAAGCCACCGAAGGTATGCAATTGCTGATATGTCATACAATTTATCTAGCAGTAGCATGCCTTCTGTGTGCTTTGTTAAACACGTCCTCGACAGCAGTGTATATGAAACTGAAGAGTGGGAGACAGATCAAGATTGGTGTATTTTTATAAAACTGCTAAAAACAACAAAACCATTTCTTGGGCTTTCCCTAGTTTTGGAGCCCTAGCTTCGCCACTGATTTGGCTAACACAATACGTTTTTACACAATTATCAAAAATTAATTATGGATTATGCACTTCAATATTATCGTAATACATCTTTACTAACTCTTTCTACCATAAAAATATGAAATTGCCATTTGTAAAGCTGAACTACAAGAGCGACTAGTGAAACATTCTTTCACTTGAAATTATGACCTCAAAGCCTCAGACTTCCATGTATGTATTACATTCTGTAGTTCCGAACTAAGAAGATAAACAATTTACAAATTAGGACCGCCTTGAAAGATCTTACCACCTTCTTTAGTCAAAAGCCTAATCTACTAGTCCCTTATTGGTTAGAACAGCAATTTATATTTATATTATATTAATAAAGAGAAAGAAAGAAAAATTATGTTTCCAAATAGATATCTTTGAGTATGCGTTTCTGAATCTCTATAAAATGTTATTTTTCGGTATTCAACTATCAAGGTGTTATATGTTTTTGGTACCAAACTAACTGATTTCTGGCACAAATTGCATACAAACTACCTAGGTTACAAAATTATTTCTCTGATTGGGTCGTTAAGTTCCTTAAAATATTTGTGAATACATTTATTTTAAACAATATTTTTGCATGCCACGAAAGGCAAAAAATGTGGAAACAAATATTGACTATCCATCCATTTGTACCCATGTTTTTAGGGAAGTAAATGAATTTGATTTGATACAAAAATTGTGTGATATGAAAAGCTGCTAATAAATATGTAAAATATTTTGTAATTGCATAGATATAATTTTTTCAGAAAGGGTGATTTACTAAACAATGAATCGCAATTTTTCTAAGCTTTTCTTTGTTTTTGTTTAACATGTCAATTAAATTTTGAGATAGTAATTCTGCTATAGACGCTATAGATGTCCAACACGCTTTTTTATTTTAGCTTCGTCTGTATCTATCAACAGAATCTTTTAATGTTTACTTTAAAATCTAATGAAATTTGTAATTCAGTTTCCACCCACTTTTAGAAGTCCAATTAATTAGAAATTTTACAAGCGTATTACAAGCTGGTGACAATACAATAATTTCATGACTGACGTAGTATTCTCATTAGGATCATCACAGCTCATGATCAATGCTATGTTTATGCATAATATATATAATGTATAAATCCAGACTCGGAGCAATTATTTGAAGGCCATACTGATTACTTGGCTCATACGGGATTTGATCCCGCAACCCCAAGCACCACATGGCAAATACAATTTCTTTTAAAACAATGATAAATGATATAGTAATAGTATTTTTTATCATCAAATAGTTTATATTATTATCAAAATACGCAAAACATATGTATTATTATTGTAATATAAGTATACATGTGAACACATAATATTTGTAAAAACATGATTAAACTTAAATTGCCTAATGTTTAACATAAAATATTTATCCTCTAGCTGAAAGCTATGGTGGCTATGCAGCTCGGCGTCCGCCGGTGGTACTACCATCGGCTTCACGGGCTGCACGAGGTGGTATGGCTGTTGATGAAGAGAGCATACCGCGCCACCCACCATTCATCGCTCACATCTCAAACTTGCCCTATGATGTGGAGGAGAGTGCCATTGCTGATTTGTTTGCTGGCCTCAAGGTAAAAATTCTAGCATGAAAAATCTAAGTTAGTTGTCAGAATTTAAAATCCTAGTAAATTGCGAGATAAAAATCTTGAAGGTGTAAATGCTTCATACTATAGAATCTATATCAAACTATTATTTCTGTTTTTTGATAAGTTCTAGAGTTCAATTCTTAGACACATATTTGTCTTTTTTAATTTTGCTTTACAGCAGTTAAATATATTGTGTGTATTATTGGGACAATTAGTCTGCTACATTGCTTGTTCCAATGCATGTTGACTGTTCCGTAAATGTCTTTGAACTATAATTTTTTTTCAGTCCTACAGATGTGGTAAATCAACACTTAAAATATGCAATAAATAATTTCCTTGGTGGCAGGTAAGAATCAAACCTGCGTCACTTGCATACTATAAAACTTTACGTCTAAAATCTGGCCTCTTAGCTCCCATGGATTCAAAATGGGCTATAACATTGCTCCTTACCTCTCAGAGCTAAGAACCCTGTTACAAGCTGTGAAATACATACTTATTAATTCTGTATTACTGTACTTGAAGAATCTCCGGTAAAATTTATAAAATATTTATTTATAAGTAGTAATATTTATCAGTTTAAAAAGTCATTATGTTCTTTGCTAAATATAACTTCACATAAAATATTCCAATCTTATCTTAACATAAATCATTTAGTCGGTAATATATTGTGAATTTGTTATTATCACTTATTTAAACAATATTTTGGCACCTGATAATGTTATGGTGATACAAATATTAGTTTATTCACAGATTACCAACTTGAGACTTCCCCGTGAAGGTGGTCGCCTCAAAGGATTTGGCTATGTAGACTTTGAAGACAGAGAAAGTCTTGTTAATGCAATGAACATTGAAGACCTGGTAAGTGCAAAAAAGATTTTTTGCTTTTAATGCAAATAAATTTGTTTTAAAAAAATTATATTGCCTTTTTAATTTGATTTTTTAAGTGTATATATAGTTGGTAGATTGTTTTTACAAAACTGAAGTATCATATGATTATATAGTCAATTTGATGGTAAGTGGCTACAGTCCATGGGCATCTGCAGCTAACTTCAAACTAAGAAGGCTACAGGTGCATTGTTACCTTTAAATACTATGATGGTATGCTTAATGGCCTATAAGTATAATGGCTCTATAACTTTCAGATAACTGTTTTATATATATGACAGTAAAAATAAAAATAGTAAAAGGTTGGTAGATGTTAGATGCTCATAGATGGATCTCTAAGCAAGATAATTAAATATAGACGAAAATTTATATGCGAAATAAAACTTCATATAATTATCAATGTCAATTAAAATTAATGTCAAGAATGTCTTGAACCAGTTTGATAAGAAAAAGATTGAGCGGTTTTCAATTCAACCTCTTAATTACAAAATATTATACATTCTCCAATATTATAAAAAATAGAAAAGGTAAATTGTAAGTCATGCTGCCTTGTAAAACACATGTGAAATAATATAATGCAGTTTATTATTATGTGAACAAAGCATAGGGCCCATTTACATTTTGAGAAGTGACAAGTGCGAGTGGCAAGTGGGAAGTGACAAGTGCGTATTTTATTTTCACTTATCAGCTTATCACTGACTATTCACACGCACTAAGTACTTGTCATTTGTCAGTTGCACTTGGAACTCGCACTTATCACTTCCGAAAATGTAAACCAGGCCTAAAGGAAAACTGTTATGCTTATGTTTTGTTGTGATACACAGACAGTTGGTGGCAGGAGAATAAGAATAGAAGTCTCCAACAATGATAATGACCGCCGTATGGGCAGAAGTGGCAGGTCTGACCGTGACAGGTAAGTGCTATAATTTTATGGAAAAAAATTTGTGTGTTTAATTTTGGTTTACTATATTATAATCATCTTGTGTTGAAGACATAAGAGTAACCATCAGAAACTGAAACAGAAACTTTTTTATTATTAGATTATAACAATACTTATTGAAAGTCACTTTTTTCATTTACCACTGGTTCGCAAAAAAAAAAACATCTGTCCTGGGAAGAACCAGCAAGAATCCCAGCGGAACTATTTTTTTTCCAATAATAGCTTACAATCATGTTTACAATTAGCAACACAAGACAAATTAGAAATAGCTTGGTAGCGATCACCCTTCCCAGGGGTTATTATCATCCATAAATCATCTCCCTGAACTCATGGATACCATAAAATTGCATTATTTTATAATGACTATGGTGTTGAGTTGTTGGGGGGATACTAATCCAATAGCTGGATTGATATGTTTGTTTAACAGTCAGTGACTCATGAAAGCACAGTATAAATAATGAATAACACATTTATGTAATTTGTTAAAAAATGAATCTGTGCAAGTCAGATTGTCCAAGGCTGTTCGTCTCTGCTTTGATTGTTGATCCTTATTGAATTACTATATCCACAGGGATTACGATCCAGAGCGCACAATGGGCGACTGGCGGTCCGGACCGCGTGCTCAACCAGAGTCTCAGGCGCGGGCTCGAACCATGGATAGAGATCGAGAACGGGACCGTGAGAGAGAATGTAAGTTCTGTTAACATAATATTATTTAAATTCCTACTCATTAAAAAAATATTTTAGGGACTGTATATACAGCCTAGTGATTGGTGGTATATAGCCTAGTACTAATATCGTAGGCGTTTCTTTGGTTCTGGTTTCAAATCCTAGCTTTATTTTGGATCTTATGAAAAAGCATTTGTAAACAAAAAGTTAGTTGAAAATATGACTTGTAATCAGAGAGTGTGTGGTTATTGTGATTGTGATATTTATGATAAGTTTTCCCGTTATAGGTTATAGTACATAGAAATTTGTCAGCCAGGATGAAATTGTCATCCCATTTGTTTAGCAGCTGGCTTCAAGTTTGAATTGTTCATTTGTGGCACATGGTAAATTAGTACTCAATTGCGATTAACAATTTAGTAATGCTGGCAGGAAGCAAACTATATTTTCTCGTACAATAACGCATGGAGACCGAAAAACGATAGAGGTTTTGCTTATAACATAGTCCACTGGTCGCTCTCCAGATTATCCTGCCTAACAGAGTTTTTCCACTTTTTCAAGAATGGCTAAAATTTATATGTCACTGTGATGATTTTATTAAGCTTTAGTGACATTGGAGTGAGCTAAAATGTCACACTTGGGACACACCAACAGAGTATAATGATCATTGATTGTATTTGTATCTAGTATATTTAATATGCCTTAAATTTTATTATACATATGACCTGTCCATATTGACACCCTTAAAAAAGGTTTGCGGTTTGACTGTGTTTTTGGAGAATATGAAATATTTTCTGCTTATTTACAAATACATTAAATCCACAATAGAAAATCTATAAAAACGAAGATCAAGAATGAAATAAAGACATGGTTATAAGGACAAGCATCCAAGCCAAAATTCTTAATAAAAAATAAACTAAAAACTTAATTTTATTTTTAATTTAAGTATTTTATGTTTTGTCAATGATCTTAATTACTTTTTTTGTCTCGGGAAGGTCTGAGTAAAGGTCATAAGTTGTTTCTTTTCCACTCTCTAGAAGGGAGCGTTGCTCATTAGCAATGTCAGAGGCACCAGAAACAATAGGCAGCAGTGGAACTGTCTGGGATTCCTTTGGGATGAGACTTAGCCCTGTATGCCGTTGAAAGTTCTCTGTGACCAGCTGTTTTAGTACAATCTGTGACACAGCAATGCTGCAACTCAATTCAGACTAGTCTTTGGCTCACTCCTTTAATCACTTTAACTTAATTCTGAGTGACTTGAATGTTCTATGTCTTTTGAAGTCGGGATATTGTGACAGGAAATTTGAAATTACCACAAAAATGAATGTTGGCAGCAAGCACTGACAACAAGCCTGGCGGTTGGCGAGATGGTGAACGACAAGCGCCCGCTGAACCAGCTAGAACTCCATATGGTGGCAGGGACTCTTATGGGCGTGACCGCTATGGTGATGATCGGTGTGTAACATGTTAACTGTTTGATGTGTATGTTGTGAAAAAGTACATTACTCTTTTATAATCTTATATAATAATTACATCATAAATAATATGTAATCATATCTTTCTCTCTATCTATATGATATAGAGTGTATGAAGAAAGGATGGCCATATATCTGAAAAATATAGCATACTCAATTATTGCAACATATGCTGTAAAAAGATTAGAAGTCTAACTTGTGATAAAACACCTAGGTAGATTAGTTTAAATAACAATATTTCATGTGTAAAGTCCCAGAGAACATGTCCTATAATGCTATGCTATTTGAATTTAATTTTGTTGTTTCCTTTATCGGCTTGCAGAAATCCACTGCTCAACATGGGACCTCTTTCATTATAGGGAGAATTTCTAGTTAAATTAATATTTTTCCGTATTTTTCTGATCCATTTTTCTCACAATACCAGCATTATGCTGTTTCGCATGGTGAGTGCAAAGAATCAGATACCATTTTTATTGACAATAAGGTGTTCCATGTTAGGCCTCATTCTTCATCGATCATGTGTGCCTATGAGCCACAGAAGCCACTTACCATCAAGTTATTTTTTTATAGAATAAAGGTGACAAAGGATCACACAGGCCACCACCTGATGGTAAGTTAATGGTGTGGCCATAGACATCTACATTTATTCTCAATTACTAATCGAAATGCAGATGCGATGTCATCCTGAGAACTAGGATGGGATACCTTGTATCCAGTCAAAAGGGTTTCCAGTTCTCTAATTAAACTATTTTTTACGCTAACGCTTTTTATTAAGCTATATTTTTATTTTACGATAGTATTCTATGGGAGTGTGGTCTCACCCCGATCGAGCCGTGTGTACTTTTGAACAATAGAAACCTTGTTTATGTATCTTAAAGAGTTTTTTTTTTCAATTCACTCTTCAAATAAGGGACTGCATTCTTTCCCACTCTGTACATATTATATTATATTATATCACCATATTATTACTTATTCATTTTCATAAATTTGAGACAATTCAACATATAACTTTATTTCTTGTTACTAAAATGCTGTTACTACATTTTAATTAGAGACAAAAAAGTTTTAATACTTAAAAACTAATTGCAGTGGACGAGAGCGGGGAGGATTTGGCCGCGATGGTTTTCGATCTGAGCGAGATGGTTTTGGGTAAGTAACATATTTAGTTTTGTACTTAATAAAAATTAATCATTCGATATGCTTTAGTGTAGCATTGATTTACAAAATACATTATTGCGAAAATCTTGCATTTAGTAGGTAAAAATTTAGAATAGTTTTGCCTTCTAAGCTGACTCCACTGAAAAGATTTCTGGATTCTCAAGTATTTCTGAGCATTAAAAAAAACACGAAGGCTGTGGGCGGGAGCGAAGCGCAGCTTCGTCTTCTAACCTAACCAGACTGAAAAGGATTTCTGGGTGTAAAGTATGTTATAATCATTTCTTTATTGTTTTTAAACAATTTATTATGAGAACATAGACCACAGAAGTAAAAAATACCATAGAAGTATAAGAATGTGACACCAGTCTTTGACATCATCTTATGTCCTTGTCACATGGCTTTCACAGTAATATTGGATTAGTTTTTGCATGTTTTACCAATTTTTAGATTATAATAGTTTTTTTTTATTTTGTCTAAAACTTAACGCGTGGTATTATCGGGGACCAAACCTCTACCAAATACAATACCTTACTCCTCAAAATTCCTGCCAAACTATTCTAAATCCAACCCGTACGTTATAAAAAGGTCTGCGCCATTATTATTTCTATAATATGATGAAATTAAAACTATGTTTCCTCTTATGAACAGAAGTCGCGACGGTCGAGGATTTGGTGGAAGAGGATTTGGTGACCGTGACCCACTACCGCGAGAAGGTAAGGTCAATTCATGGCAATTATATACACACACGGCAGTTTGTCAGCCAATTTTGTGTATATTTTTTTTTTGAGTAAACTATTAGTACAACACACTTCTAACACATCTTCACACACATCCTTTTGCCTAGTAGCTAACCTAGCCTAGTGTAATATCTTAACTATATTCAATAATTTAATTGTTATTAGAACATTATTAGCACAAATATAAACAAAAGACTTCGTTTTCGAGATAAGTTTTAACACTCATTAATAAATACGTACCCGCAATGCAGTGGCGAAGCTTCCATTAAAGCCGAAAAGCCGGGCTTGCCTTATTAAACCTAAATCAATCAATAATATCAACTAATAAAATAACTCGTAAAATGTTTCAAGCTATTTCCCGCACACTCCACTGTTCGACACATGTCGATCGATGACCTCGTATTGCCTTAGCGATACTGCTGCTGTCATAAAAAATGAGTTTTAATAGAGCTAATAGTTGTCTCCCTCGCTCGCGTGGGCTTTTTACGGGGCTTTCGAGAAGACGATCGCTCTCTTTCTAACCTATGGCAAAATATTCTATAATGAAATATAACTACGATTGTATATATAGCAATTAGTATAGAGATTTAAAGCCAGGCTTTTGGGAATAAATTTGTTAAAAGCGGAGGCGCGCGGACAAAACGTTTGCAAGTTCGTTTCACGTTTCAATGTTTATTTACTCTGTGTGCTTATCTTAAGCGATTTAATATTACGAGTTCAAAATTTATGCTTTTTTAAAGATTTTTAATGAAAATGGAGGATAATAGTGTTCCTTGTGATGAATTGAAGTGTGTTAAAGTGATAATCGGAAAGGAAATCTTTAAACTTTGTTGAGATAATACACAAGGTTAAGAGTGTATTTCAGTCTTATCAATTATCGCAATTAAAAATGGTTATTGGTACAATTAAAACGTTCACCAACATTTTACATGGACGTAATTAAATCTTTCCATAAGAAAGCGAGACGATTCCGCTTATCTTATCTTTCTCTTGTCTATTAGAATGTAAATAATTTTTTTTTAATTTTGTACATAGTTTGTTTGTACTTTGTTCGTGTTTTACTTTTGTTCATGTATTGTATTGGATGTAAATATTTTTTTTCTTTCGCTTAAACAAAACCAAATGGCTTTCTTCAAAGCCACCGAAGCTATGCAATTGCTGATATGTAATACAATCTATCTAGCAGTGGTATGCCTTCTGTGTGCTTTGTTAAACACGTCCTTGACAGCACTGAATATGAAACTGAAGCGTGGAGACAGAACAAGATTGGTGTATTTTTATAAAACTGCTAAAAACAACAATCTATATTTTTATCAATTTATATCTTGGGCTTTCTCTAGCTTGGAGCTCTAGCTTCGCCACTGCCGCAATGCGGTTAAAGAATGGGATTCACTATTCATTTCTCGCTCGCACACTGATGCAATCTATAGAATACTATAATACACAATAGAATGGCTGTCAACTTTATTTTGTACGAGGTTTGGCGTCACCAAACCCGATTCGCTGTGTTGACAGACTGAATAAATTCACACATTTTAGGCATTGACTTATATATTACTAGCGTAAGGACCGGGCCGACCGAACAACAAAAACGGGCCAGTACGTTGGCACTAAAATAACAGTTTAGGGCCAACGCGAATCGGTCGACAGTAGTGCGCGCGCAGGACAGATTTGCCTGTCACAAATATGTCTAGTTGCGTGGTAAAAGAATGCAAAAATTACAATAGAAAAATTAAAAAGGCACATGAGATATCGTTACATCGGTAAAGAACCTTATATTAATTTTGTTACAATTAAATTATTATATAATCGCATTTTTAAAGTTTTATTTTACAGTTAGTTCAGTTACGTTACCAAGATTAGGCCAGGGTTGGATTCAGACCCTCAAAAATATTGTACATAAAATTATATAAATTATTGAAAATAAAATTATACTATTAAAAAAAATTATATCACGTTTGACGTCTCATGTTTCGTTTTTCCCATGTGTCGGGATTTTAGCGTTATGCGTTTAGTTTATCTATAAGTTTCGGTATTTGACGGTTTTATTTTTATTTTAGTTTAATTTTTGTCTTAAGAACTCAGTGTAAGTTAAATTTTGAATATTGGTACCTAATATATTTTATATTCAATAAATATAATAATAAGGGTAAAATGAAAAGAGTACAAAAGAAACCATATCTGCTTAATTGAATCTGAAAATATGATTCATAAACTATTTTGAAATTCTGTTTTCAAACCGATTGATTCTGGTGCATAGTTTTTATCGTGGTAGCCCTTCATTATAGTTGTATCAAGGATGCAACATAAATGCATGGATCGAGCATCGATTGACTAGAAATGGAACTAATTCAAATTTTTTTAAAACGCGGTACTCATGTACAATACAGAAATTCTCGATATCGTAGGGTTAATATAATATGTAAAAGGACCCAATAATAATACAAGTCGACCTTTAGGCAAAATTGTGGTATTTTTGCTTACTAATCGTAATAATACGATACTGTATGTACTACAAACTATGAAAATAATGGTACAATTAGGATAATTATACTACGAAATTTGACCCTGGTTACGTCGTGTATCACGTTTGTATTATGACAGATGCGCTACTTTTTCGTGAATGAAAAAGTTATGAGTAAAATATTTAGATGGGCCTATCCTTCCTTTTGGAATCATTGATTTTAGGACTTTTGATTAATGTTCAAGATCATCACTAAAAAATCGTTTAAATTTTAATACGTATTTATTTGTAAATAGGGTACAATTTGGCATTTTTTTTTTTTGTTGTTTTTTCCGTTTTTTTTTTTTTTTTGGGGTGGGTTGTTTCAAGGTAAAAAAAAAAAATTTTTTTGGTGGCCGGCCTTTTTTTAGGGGGGGTTTTTTTTTTTCCCACGTGGGGGGGGGGGTTTATTTTTTTTTTTAATATTTTTTTTCCCCCCCCCTTCTTTTTACAAAAAAAAAAAAAAAAAAAAAGAGAAGTTTTTTTTGGAAACCACCAAGGGGGGGGGGGGGGCGGTTGCTCGGGGCCCCCCTAAATTAGGGACAATTTTTCCCGTGCCCGCTTTGTTAATAATTAGCATGCGAAATTTGGAAACGATTGTAACGTTAAAACACATCTCGTGTTGACATTTATACGTGTGAATTGACGTGTTAGTGACATTTTAGTGGCAACGGGGGCTGCGCCCACTCCCCCGTTCTATTTTGTATGTATTATAGTATTCTATGGTCGCAATCTATACTCACACCCGCCGGTAAAGACTGCAGAAAAAATACGTTGCGATATGCTATTTTCGTATATTCTATAACTTCAGCCTAACTTGGCATTAGAATCAATAACAACAAAATGCCGCAAGCTACAAAAGAAAATCAGTCTGGTTATGCTAATTTGTGAGCTTACGACGCGTTCTGAGAGTTATCTTCATAATAATAATAATTATTGTTATTTTGTTAGTTAATACTTTTGTATAAAATATTTACATGCCATTGTTTTCAAATATTTTCCCATTAATGGAAAATTTCCAATTAATCGAATAATATAAAACGATATACCGTTATCAGCGTGTTTACGTTATTGACACTGCATGTTGACGGCCGCCATTTTTAATCCAATTCTTTATTCATACGGACTGTAGATAATTTTTTATTCGTTTTGTGTCTCGTTGCAAAAATGCAATGTTGCCATATTTAGTTCACCAGCAAAACACTAAAAACTAAACCTTCGCTATATTTAGAAATTTAACAATATTTAATACAGGTTTTGCTTCAAATTTAATATATCTGAATACTTTGTCAGTGACACTATCAATTGGCTCTGTCTGAGATTCTAGTACAGATTGTTCCGAAAGTTTCATTTTAGACAAATTATTCATAGCTCCATAAATATTCACATTGTGTATGAAAGTTATGTCGAATATTTATAAATGAAAGATACCGAAAACTTTTCATTAGGTATCGTAACATTGTAATCTGTTCAAAGTAACATCACCTAGAAAAATGGTTAAGCTTAAATGAATGTTATTGGCCACAGAAAGCAAACCTCGTGAGCGTCCAAAACTAAATCTACTCCCGCGCACCGTGCCACGTGAGCCAGAGGTGCCTGTGAAACCAGCAGATGGAGCACCAGTTGATGACAAGCCAGAAAAACCGAAACCTGTCCCAGCTGAAAAAGTGTTTGGTGCTGCAAAGCCAGTGGACACTGCTGCTAAGTGAGTACCGAGCTCTGCATTTAACGAAATTCGATTGCGCAGTTTCTTTTTTATTGCAAAGTTCTAAAAATACCTATAGAGGGTCCCTAGTCTAAGGGCACAATGAACTTGCAAATTGTCGCTCTATTGGGTAAATCAACTTCACAATAGTGATATATCAAATTGCAACCATTTCAATTTTCTGACTGACTTAAAAATAGACATCTGTTTAATAGATAAAGTAAAAAGACTTTCTAAAATCTTCTATTCTTTTAAAACGATTGTACTATAGACACATAGAAGCACATATCGCATATTAGAACTTACGAAATTTGAACATTTGAATCTTTTTTTCTTAGAGCGATGCCAATGTCCAGCTTTGATACAATATCTGCTTCGCACATATATCAAACAGTCATGATCAATATATCTTGATTGTAAATCTAGGGTTCCTGAACTCTATTGTGCAAAATTAAAATGGTTATTTAGACACCCTTTCAAGTCTTAAATACATGATTTGGTCGCTTCACACCAACATTACTTTAAAATTATAACTTAAAATGACGAAAAAAATTTGAAATAGTTATACTGCCTTAACCTTATTTTAATTATTTCTTGTTTACCAGAGAGCGTGAAATAGAGGAGCGTCTTCGGAAACAAGAGGAAGAAGCTAGACGCGCTGCTGAAGAAAAAGAACGTTGGGGTCGTAGGGTAAGTTTTATTTATCTCAATTAACTTGCTATTGTATAAAGAAGTAACTATCCATTTGCCATACGGTAATAGCATAAAATAATGCATCACCCTGTTTTGTCCCTGAGGGTGTCATAGCAAGTGACTATGAAGAATGCCTAAATTTGGGTTAAAAAAATTGTTACGGTATAACTATCTCCTATAATGCGCTAGATAAAAACAGGGATGCACCAAAATGGATACCAAGTTTGAATTGATCGAGAGACAAAGCTTAGCATTTTAGTCGGAATATTTACTTACCGCACCATTTTAGTTAGCTTGGTGATAACATCAAGTTCTCTCAAGAATGAGAGGGCCATGTTCAGCAGTGACTGCTAATTAGCTGGTGAAGACACGTTTTCTCTATGAAGGCTAACATCTGTTAAGTTTACCAAATAGAATAGAATGGAATCATAAAAACTTGGCTCTTTTTTACTTTGTGCGAAAGAGTGTCCATTATCAACAAGCCCAATAATATTCTTATTGTGCTTGTTGATAATGGACACTCCCGACCCGAGGGAAACTCTTTAAGCGTATTTTTGCAACAACTCGTTTCGACTACTCTGAGCGCCTTAGTCGTCGCAAGAAAGCGGATGCATGGCGATGCGAAGCGCGCAGTTTTTTATCGCTTTCTGTTTTTTTTTTTCAAAAAAAGTTCTAAAAAATTGTATTTGGACGCTCACCGCCTTTTTGATACAGTAGTGCTGTCCATCACGTAATGAGCATGATTTTTATATATTTTTTTTATTTTCAGAGTGATCACTCCAGTGACCGTCGTGGTGGTGCCAGACGAGGTACGTAGTTGCGTGAATAACGATAAAACCTTCCTTCCTAACTTTCTTTACTGTATCAACATTAGTGTAGTATATAGTGTTTTTACCCCTTGTAAACATGTATATGATGTATTCCGTATTTTCTTAAATAAAGTTACTGCATTTTTTCTGTTCCTCGTTGAATGATATTGTTTACACTTCACATTGTTGTTTTTATTTATTACTAAAGTTGTTCAAACGACTATAAATCAATAGCACGCTACAGACTAAACTAAAAATTTATAGTGCGCTATTAAATACGCTATGTTATAGCGCGCTATTTATAATAAAATGTGTAGGAGGCCTGCAAGCGCGTTAAATTTATTGGCAGCACGCTATATATCTCGGAGCTACATTACATGTCGTTCATTGGATAGACCGCGTGTTATATAAGAACATTGTTTCGAAATAAGTCGCATTTTAGATTAAAATAAAATAAAGTGGTAAAGAAAAATTAAAGAACGCTTTTTCATACTTTTCAAAATTTTTAAAATCCTAAAAATATTTTTAAGGACTGTACTTTTTTTAAACAAAATAAAATTAATCATTTTTTATTATAATTGATGTAAACGTTATTTTAACCTTATTATAAATTATAAATCAAAGGTGTATTTAAAAGTTTATTAATTGTATATACAAAAATCAACTACTTACAAACACTATTATATACACTTTTGTATCTATACTTTATTTACATTTAAAAACATTAGTTAGGCTTCTTTTGTAGCAGACAACTGTGTCCTTCGATCACTTATAAATATACAGTATACACTAACTAAATAACGTCTAACACTAAATTAGTTCGCGCGCGATGAATAGCGCGCTGCTAGATTAAATTTGCGTCACGCGTCTGCTCCCAACAGCGCTGCTGCTAGAACTAATTGCCACTTGATATGATTAGCGCCAAAGCGTCATTGCGTCATAGCGCCATGGCGACTACTTACATAGCACGCGCTATGCGTTATGAAGAGATAGCGCGCTATAATATGGCGCTATGCGCTATATTAACCACCATTATTTATTACAGACGACCGTGGCAGAGACTCGCGCAGCTATAACAGAGATCGGCGCGACTATTCTAAAGATGACAGAGATCGGCGTGATTATTCCAAGGATAACAGAGAACGTCGCGACCATTCAAGAGAGAGACGCGATTACTCGAAAGAGGATAGGGACCGCCGCGACAGAGACGATAGAGACCGCCGCGACAGAGACGATAGAGACCGCCGCGACAGAGACGATAGAGACCGTCGCGACAGAGACGATAGAGACCGCCGCGAAAGAGACAATAGGGACCACCGTGATTACAGAGACGATCGCGACGGGCGAGACTCACGCGATCACAGAGATGAAAGGGATACACGCGATTACAGGGATGACCGGGACAGACGCGATTATAGTCGAGAGAGAGACCGGCGAGACTATTCTGGCGAAAGAGATGATAGATCCCGCAACGATAAGGCTAGGGAGTCGTCCCCAGAGGCACGGAAAGAATCGCGTAATGATGAGGATCGCGAACAAAATGGTCGCGAAAGGCCGAGTCGCTCACGTGAGAGGCACGACGATCGCGAAGATAAACCCTTGCCGAAGTTAAAAGAACAAGAGAAACCAGTAAGTCTTCAATTATGCCTCCTAAACAATTTTTTTTTAATGATAATACTAGTCACACTCTTGGTCTTGACTCCATCAAAATAGGCATGGTAACAAATTAAATTCAGCAATAATACATATTATTTTTCAAAGAGTAGCCAAGTTTTAAACTTATGTTTAAATATATAAATAATGATATACCTTTGTTGCAGTTTCTAAAAATAGGAATAAGTAAGGCTATATATAAATAAATCTACTTTTATTTGAAATTATCCTAAATTTAATGTGATTTATGGACAGCAACCTTTTTGTCTACTGATCGACCCTTAACGAATGTGTGCTTGCGCATTAAAGTCAGTTAAAATAATGCATTACCATGCACTAATTTAAAAGATAAAGAAGGAAATATTTGAGATTTTTTTTAATTAATTCTTCACCATTTGCCTATATTACTTATTTTGAACCTTCTCTTCAAATTTAGCCTGACACAGTTGTTCTGGCCCTTGTCTACTTTTTCAGCAGTTAGTCACATTATAGAATAACATTTGTTTCATTTTTCCTATTTCAGATTTTTGTTGCGTCAAATAAATTCAGCTTCTTGGAGGACGCCGACGACGGTGAATCCGACTAACATACGACAGAAGCTCATTGTACTCTTTATAACAGTGTCCGTTTCACTGTGACTCAGTGTAAAGTGTAAATTTACGAGTATCGGGGTTATATAGTGTGACTGGACTTGCTAAAGCACAAAGACGATCTGTTGAATGTGCTATGTAATAAGGACGCAATCAATCATTAGTGCGGTGTGATAAAAAGTGTAATTAGTGTTGCTATATATGCTCACACTGCTTCGAGGCCTGCCCCAGCCTTTATAGCTATTTCTATGAAAATATATTTAATATATAAACATGACTGAATGTAACTGCTAGCATTCCGGTTCATTATACATAAATATTGTTCCAGTACTGTTTTGGAAATCGTCATAAAGGCTGGGGCTCGGAATTTGTGACCTGATTGTATGGTGTAAATTTTTATATGGGCTTAATAAATGATAGTGTTGTGAGAGTGGTTACAAAACAAAATGGCCGAGAGCAATAACTGCTGAATAATTCCCATAATTTTTTCTAAACAGTTTTTTTTTTTTGGTATAGGTGCTGCCTGTTCAATTTATTTTGTGAATAGTGACCATCCATTATCATTCGAGCTAAATGTAGTTACTATTATTGGACTTGTTTTACAGCAAAATATGCCACAATAGGAAATCCAATTTCTTTATATTAGAATATGTCTATATTAAATATTTAGTCGAGTTAGATTATTTTTAGAATAAAAATTGTATTATTTATCTTAACATTCGAAAATTGTGAAATAATCAACATCTGTTTCTACTATACGTCTTCTTACACATATATTATGTATTGTTATCATGTGCCTATCTTGGGCATAAAATACATAAAAACTATGGAAATCTACCTAATTATTAAATGTAAAGTTGTAACATAAAATGTTCTAGTTGATTCAATAACGTCGTAATGTCGTCAAATTTGTTTTGTATTATCTCAAGATTTTTTGTTTGGTATATTTGTCTCGTTGTGAATTATAAATAAATTACTTCTTTTACAGCCACATTGATTTGTTTCTTTTACGTTGTTACCATCATGTAGGAATCTAGTATGAATGTGTATAGTAAAATAAAGTTATTTGTTTTGTCGTTTTCTGATTCTAGTTGATAGGTACGTATAATCTATATGCCCCAGTATCGTGCACATTTGAATAAAATTTTAGCGATAAAAGACGTTGTGGGCCATCTTTTTTTTTTTTTAGGTTATTGGATGTTATGAGTCACCTGTGATGGATTCAAAGCACTTAGCATAAAACGAAAAAAAATGGAAATAGTTTCTGTATTCTAAAATTAGTTCGAATTCCTTTATTTAATTATTCCAAATGATCAAATTTATTATTTGAAGATTTAGCAACGCGGACGCCATATTGGGTTAGGCCTAGGGCGCCACTGAAATACTTTTATATTTTGCAAATATCTTTATATTATGAGGTGGCTTCAAATCGCAGGCAGCAACCTGGTACTCTGATTACTAAGCTACTATGTTGTCATTAAGTCAACATTAGTACTGAACTTTGATAGCAAGGATAGACCTACATAGCCTATATACATATTTCCTGTTGGACACGTCCTGGCTTCTTTGGCTCCACACAGGCTTCCTGTCAATTCTGAGGGTTATAGAGTAGCAAGTTGGCCGCGCCGTTCGATTGAGTGTTGACCACAGAAATCGTAATAATAAGACAATAGAAGTCGCATAGACGCGTGACCTTGTCGCCGCTTATATGGGTTGACGAACATCATTCACCATTTTAGAATTAGAGACGTTATAAAAACTCATCAAGGACGTGTAATTCAACTAATAAAGGCATAACATCGTCGGTAAGTTGATTATTCATTAATTTACATCTAGATTAATAACTATGTTTACCTTTGTAAACTCATTTACTACTTTTCGTGTTATACAATTACCATTACTGCTTTTGTTCTACCGTAATACGCGACCTTGACAAACTCGCCAAGAAATGTAATGTGAAACATTAGATATCATTGTGCATTGCGTATGTTTATAAATTATAATACGGTAAGATGTGGCGGCATCGGTTTTGGAAGTAATCGAGCGCTAATTCATTTCTATTGTTTTATTATTACTATTTCTGTGGTTCTGATTCACCTACATCCATTGACTTTGCATGTCTTAACTGGTCGTCACTCCATCTATTGTGGGGTAGCCCTGCACTTCACCCACTGGTACGGGGCTCCCACTAGAGAACCTTTTTCCCACCATCGGTTGTCGATTCTTCGAACTGTATGGTCGGCCCATTGCCACTTCAGCTTACTAATCCGTTGGGCTATATCGGACTCTGGTTCTACTGTGAATATCTTTATTTCTATGTTTATCACGCACAAAACCCCGAACATAGCCGTCTCCGTAGCTCGACGAGTGACTGAGCTTCCTCATACGGCCAGTGAAGCCAGCCGTGAATATATGTTTTACAAATTATATTCGAACTCAGCTTAATATTAATTTCCAAATTAAACTTCACACATGCTATGATCACATAAGTACTAGTTCCAGCTGTTTATTAATTAGTAAGGTCTCTGAGTCCAAGTATTTAGGATTCATAGTTGACCAACATTTGCCATGGAATAGACACATTGAATTAAGCATGAATAGACTTTGAAAACATACATGGATATTTAACACATTAAGACGAAAAAGTTACTTTACCAAACATATATTGCTTTGGCTCAATCTATCTTAGTATATTGTATTCCTGTATGGGGTGGAGCAACAAAAACTAAATTTCTAGAATTTGAAAGGGCACAGAGTATTTACTAAAATTTATGCATTCATTGCAGAAAATCCATATATTATTATTAATTTTATGTTTAAAAAATAGGTACGCGAAAAATAAAACTAGTTGTTAAAAGATAGTTATTATTTATGTGAAGATTTATATGATAGATTTTTATTATTTAAAAAAGTAATTTTTCGTTATTTTTAATTTCTTATAACTCTCCTATTTGTTAATGAAATACGTGTAATATTATTTTTGCACTTTTAGGTTCGTATTTTCATTCCCTTTCGTATGATACCATAAATTATCCAGTTTCCAGACCAATGAATGTTCTCTATTTTTTTACCTAATTTTTGTGTAGATAATGTACAAAACATATTGTAACTAACTACTCTACTAATGATTTCTTATATTTACGCGAACACTACACATTGAAATAAACAAAAAAAAAAAAGATAAATTCCGTAAAAACTAGTATTATAACTATCTACTAATTTTTATTTGTTGTAGGTTAATTTCAGAGAATTACAAAGAATATACAGAGGTATACTTAATGCTACATAATTACATTATATGCAATGGTGATCTTGCTAGACGTGGATGATTACTTCAATCGAACATACTTCTATTTATTTTGGCAACAAAATTTAAAATGGCTATGGCCATTGACATAGTACTTATAAGACGTGACTTGTGTTTTTGTTGTGGTCACAGTACAACATTGTATTCACTGCCACATTTTATTCTTACCAATGAAGATGAAATGTTTAAAAAAATGTTTTTATGCAACTTTTATTACCAAATATGTAATTTATCTGTTTATGAACATTATCCTGACGATTAATGTCTTTTTTCGTAACTAACGATAATACAAAACAAAGAGAAGGGTGACAAAGTGCTAAAATAAATAATAAGTTTATTATGATTTGTTGTACATTTTTCTGAGGTGACTCCCAAAATAGAAACGGTTTTCCTTTATTGTATGTTTTTTCTGAACAAATTGCTTACTAACTCACAATGCCTTGGTATTGCGGTGGAAGAAATGGTCATATTACGATGGAGTGGTTTTAATAAAAAGCAAAAATTTTTTCAGAACCCTTTATACGATGAAACGAAGAAGCGATAAATTATTAGACCTAGTTTTAAAGGAAGACGATACAATCCCTTACGGTAACAAGAGGTTGGTGATTCTTTAAATAATCTTGAAAGTATTTCTTTTGTGTGTTAAAAGAAATATTGATAATATTGTTTGTGTTCAAGTAAATTCTAAATTGATGGATCTTTATTTGTTTTAGCAGTATGACACCAAGACGACGTTACACAATTCACGAAATACCGTCTCCACAAGCATTAGTATTTATATTAATTTACACCATAAAAATATCAATTTTTATAAAAGTATCAATATAAATTTTTAATAACTTTCATATTATTTTTCAGATTTGAAACCGTGACAACAGAACACATAGTAACTAAACCGTCTAAAAAATCAAAGCGTGCCAAATCGCTTTTCCTTGCCTCACAATATAGTGATTCTGAAAAAATATCTGAGCCTCTTGTCGGTTCATTAGATGAATGCTGTACATTGATTAATCGTCAGGAAAACAAATCTATATGTAGAGATAGGGACTTAGATATGCTAATAGAACCTCATCCTTCCTCGAGTAAACATTCACCTTTTTTATATTCACCCCCAGCCAATGAAAACCTTTCCTTTTTAAGAAGCGGCGTTAAAACAAGAGGAGGAATGCGCCGAAATACAGGTATTAAAATACTTAAATGTCAAAAAGTAGACTTACACGATGGTAAAGTAACATTGATTAATTTAGAAGAAAATAGTGAAGGTAATGATGACCTAAAGAATGAAAAAAATATTCATACAGATCTAGATAAATCAGTGCCAAATTTAGATATTATGGATGAAATGAGAAATATATTTGAAGGGGAAGATGAAGAAAAACCGAAAGCAAAACTATCCTCTACAAAACTATTGACTGAAGAAGAACTTATTAAGATGCTGGAATTAGAAGATGAGTATACAGAAGAAGAAAGTGATCAGGAAAATCTATCAGATGATTGCTTATATTCTGACGCGAGTGAAGACGCGACGCAAATAAGTGAAGATGGGACACAATTGAGCGAAGATAATAATATAAATTTTAATGAAACATTACAATTAACTGATGATGAATGGAAAAATGAACGTGATCCTACTATTGTACCTATAGATTTTGATGGATACGATAAAAAACTCAAAATTTTGCCTGAAAAAAATGAACTATACGGCTATTTCAAATTGATTGCGACTGATGAGTTTTTTACAATGTTAGTCACAAAGATTAACAATTACGCGTTTAAGTTATTGTCGAATATATTAGATCCTAACAGCAGACTGAGACTATGGAAAGATGTAACTGTTCCAGAAATTAAAACATTTTTGGGTATTTTGTTTCACATGGGAACTATCAAACTAAATCGAGTCACAGACTACTGGAAAAGGCATCCACTGTTTAATTTACCAGCTTTTTCAAAACACATGAGCAGAAACAGATTTCTGTTAATAATGAGATCATTAAATTTTGAAGATGACTTATCCGATAACAGGCTGGCAAAAATAATAAGTTTAATCAACTTTTTTAACCAGCGAATGGGAGAAATTTATTTCCCGTCTAAAAATCTGGCCATAGATGAGTCAATGGTTTTGTTTCGTGGTCGTTTAATATTCCGTCAATATTTAAAAGGCAAAAAGCATCCCTACGGTATAAAACTTTATATACTAACTGACGAATATGGGGTAATTATGAAGATTATTGTATATACCGGCGCTTCGGATACTTTAGTAGGAGGAGCCAATCACAGCGAAAAAGTTGTTTTGAATTTACTATCGGATTATTTCAAAAAGGGGTATTCCGTTTATATGGATAATTTTTATAATTCAGTAAATCTTGCACAAAAATTGTTGTCTCTTAAAACATATTGTACAGGTACTTTACGTATAAATCGAAAAAATAATCCAAAAGAAGTCTTACTTAGAAAATTGAAACGTGGCGAATCGATAGCGAAATTCAATAGTAGTGGTATTGGTGTTATGAAATGGAGAGACCGACGGGACGTTTTAATGATTTCATCACAATATGGATCCGATATGACCATCGTTACGAATCGACGCGGTGGGACCGTTTCCAAGCCTGAAGTTGTTGTAAAATACAATAAGTACATGGGTGGTATAGATTATCAGGATCAAATGCTTGCATATTACTCATGTGAGCACAAAACTATACGTTGGTACAAGAAGTTAGGAGTTCACGTGTTCCAGCAAATGTTATATAATTCGTACACACTGCACAACATTTTTTCGACGAAGAAAAGTTTCAATTATTACAGGCTTGAAATCATAATGAAATTGTTAAATATTGATGAAGAAGACACAATGCGTGGCTCAGTTCCAAAAAATCAAGTGCATGTTCTTCAACAGTGTTCCCGTAAAAATGATGGCAGAAAGAGAAAAATTTTACGACGTCGGTGTAGACAGTGCTGGGTTTCTAAAAAAATCCGAAAAGACACTTCATATTTCTGTCCCGATTGTCCCGAACAATACGGTTTTTGTTTGAATGATTGTTTCAAAGAGTACCACAACTATTAATTGTTATTTTTTATTTTTAATAGTAAATGATTGTCTTCATGGGTTTCTCTCACTTTTATTGTTTACCAACCTACGTATAATAAAATAGTCAACCCACTCAAAGGTCATCCAGAGAGGTTTTTAATGGGTGCCGTAAATGTAACAATATACAAAGTGGATATATATATATATATATATATATATATATATATATATATATATATATATATATATATATATACACAATATGTAACGTAAATTAACGCACATCCTCAGACACCCCAATTAGTATATTATGTTATAATCATAATACAAACACTGAATTTTTAGTTGAAACATTTTTATGCACTGATTATTTATCAAGTTAGTTATACTAATTCCGGAAGCAGGGGTTTAAAGCGGTAAAGATAATAGGATATGGTACCGGTATAGAATTACGATACAGCTTTGATTTAAAGGTAGAACCAAAACGGTTGAGAATTACGGTTGTGGTACCGTTAAAAAAAGAATTATACTTATATTTTTTTACGGTATCGTTATACCTATATTTTACTAATACCTTTACCGAAATAATTTCGGTACCGAAAAAAATGAGTATTTTAGGCTTATTTATACATATGTATTGTGTCTCGGACCTTGCTTAACGTTATGAGACTCATTCGATTTGGATTTCCTATGTTACTGTATTTCATGTTCGGAGAAAATAAAACATCTTTATCATACGAGTATTTGTATTATTATTTATTATCAGTAAAGTATTTAATTAAAAACGTAATATTATGTTTAACATGTGGGTACCAATTCTTAACCTAGCTCTTCAGAATCAGTTAAAGGAACATCTTTAAAGTGCTTCCCTTCCAAGGGATGTAGGAATACTAATATTTTTGAGTACACACGGGCTCGCATACAAGTTTTTATATTTTGCATCCATTTTTTATAACATTTGCCGGCCCTGAGAGCGATCGAATAAAGAACGCTAAGCTAAAAATTGCTGCCGTGTAGTGGCGGTTAAGAATCCCCGTGGGTGTCGTAAAAGGCGACAGAGGGAAGGCGGCAGGAGATGAGCAGCAGCATCTTCCTTATAACATCAATTGTACAACAAAAAAAACTGCAGTTGCCAACCCACTCGTAAAGCGTGGCAACTATGTAAATACCCCCCACGAGCAACGACACAAGTAAGTGGCCCCCAGTTCCACGGCGGCCGCGCTATTCCTGGCTAGGTGGCGAACATGGTAAAGGCGGGATAGGGGTGCTAAGAATCTCCGGTGAAGGGTCGATTGCCACCTAAGACGATTCGACTTGGCAACAAACAACGGACGCACCCTGAGGACTACCAAGAAGATCCTGGAGCTGGAAGAAGAGATAGACAAGTAGCGCTTGAATATTAAAGGATCATCCGCGGTCCGAAGAGAGGAGGAGGACACGGTGATTCTTGAATCCGGCAGCTTGTTCTATCACCGGGAGGGCGACCATTCTGTCGCAAGGAGGTGTTGGATTTATAGTCCACAAGTCTCTCGTTAACAACCTTGTAAAGATTGGTAGTGTGTCGACGAAGGTTGCGTACCTCATATTCAGAATCACCAAACGGTATCCAAGGCCATACAGGTCTACGCACCAACATCTATTACGTTTTTAGATATTCTCTACGATATTTCTAGAGCCATGCATTCTTATAAAAACCACTATACGGTGTTAATGAGAGACTTCAACGCAAAACTAACCAAAAGGAAGAAAGGTGAGCTGACGATAGGTAAATTTGGGTTAGGGCAACGGAACACAAGGGGCCAGCAGCTGGCCGACTTCATGGAGAAGGAGGGACTATTTATAATGAACTCTTTTTTCCTGAAGCGGCTCCACAGAAAGTGGACCTGGTCGAGGCCCGACAGTACGATAAAAAATGAGATTGACTTAATTATGAAGACGAGACGGTAACTGTTCAGTGATGTCTCACTGATCGCAAGGATGAAAACTGGCAGTGATCACCATCAAAATGGTTAAAGGTACACTGAACCTAAATGTTAAGTTGAAGAGGTCTCGTCTAAAGAAGTCAACGCTCCGTCCCCCTCGTGCTCTAATCCAGAATCCCGAAACCTTTCAACTCGAGTTACGTAACCGCTTTCAGTGCCTAGAAGATTGCAATGCAGTGGACGATATGAATGACAAGCTCGTGGAAACTGTCCATGCGGTCGGAGATAAGTTCTGCAAGACCCGCCGCAGAAGAACACAAAAACTCTCCGATCACACTCTTAATCTCATGGCAGTTAGACGGGAGATGAGGCTGCAATCGTCAACAGATTTGACAGCATACAGGCAACTGAACAGACAGATCTCCAAATGCATGCGGCGAGACTTACGCAACTTTAATATTGCTCGTATTGAAGAAGCGATCGAATGGAACCAGGGCTCCAAAGTCTTTGAAGAATGAGTGTGGCAACACCGTTTCCGGGACACCTGAGATTTTGAGTGAGATTGAGAGTTTCTATGAGCTGCTGAACACATTATCGTTGCAGCCACACGCAAGTGTGAGTAACGATTCAAGAGCAAGTCTAATCCGACACTATTCCGATGATATCCCGAAAGTCAGTCTGAGCAAGAAAAGAAGGCTCTCTATCACGTTAAAAACGGCAATGCCCCAGGTGAAGATTGAATTACAGCGGAGTTTTTGAAAGCGGGCGGAAAACCGGTACTTAAAGTCCTTCAAAATCTCTTCAATTTCGTCCTTCATGGTGGCACTACTCGGAGGCTTGATGCAGAAGTGCAGTGCTCTTGTTTTTAAAGAAAGGCGATTACGCTCTCTTGAAGAACTACAGACCGATTTCCCTTCTGAGCCGCGTCTGCGTGCCGTTTTCGAGAGTCATTACGAATCGTCTCGCACGCAGACTCGACGACTCCCAGCCTCCCGAAAAAGCCGGTTTCCGAAAAGGCTTCAGTACCATAGATCACATACATACTCTCCGGCAGATTGTACGGAAGACCGAAGAGTACAATCTGCCACTTTACCTGGCGTATACCGCCAACCGGTAACAACCGTAACCGTATATGAGAAAGCATTTGATTCCGTCGAAATTTGGGCGGTGCTACAGTCCGTTCAGCGGTGCCAAGTAGACTGTCGGTATATAGAAGTGCTGAAGTGTTTGTACAGTAGGGCTACGATGCTAAGTGCTGTTTTCGAGTCATTACGAATCATATTCAACTGCAGAGAGGTGTAACACAGGTTGACGTTATATCACCCATACTCTTCACCGCCGCATTGGAAGATGTTTTCAAGCTACTGAATTGGAAAGGTATTAACATCAATGGCGAGTACATTACTCACATTCGATTTGCCGACGATATAGTCTTTATGGTGGAATCGCTGGAGGATCTAAGCAATATACTCAATGATCTCAATAGTGTATCCCAACGTATAGGTTTTAAGATGAACATGGACAAAACAAAGATCATGTGTAATGTTCATGTCACGCCTATGCTGGTAGTTGTTGGGGGCACTAAGCTCGAAGTTGTTGACGAGTACGTTTGCCTGGGACAAATAGTCCGACCAGGTAAGTCTAACTTCGACCGAGAGGTCTTCAGGAGATTTCAACTCGACTGGGCAGCGTTCGAGAAATTACGACACATCTTCTCGTGAGGTATACCTCATAACCTTTTTTTTTTCTTTTTTTTTTTTTATAGAATAGGGTGACAAACGAGCACACAGTCCACCTGATGGTAAGTGGTTGCTGCGGCCCATAGACATCTACATCTATCCTCCATTAAAAATCAAAATGCAGATGCGTTGTCACCCGTGAGGACTGAGATGGAATGCCTCGTTTCCAGTAAAAAGGGTCTCCGGTTCTCTACACTCACCATACGAAATACAGCAGCATTAAGCTACTATTTCACGCTGGTATTCTGTGAGAGCGTGGTCCTTCCCCGGTCGAGCCGACCCATTCGTGCTACAACTATACTACTAATATAACTGCAGCATGGCTCTACCACGTAAAACCTAAAAACTAGATTGTACACCAGTGCATATTGCCAGCGATGACTTACGGATCTGAGACATGTTCCTTTAACTGCTGGCCGTATGAAGACGATCATGGTCGCTCAGCAAGCTATGGAGAGGGCTTTGCTCGGGGTTTCTCTGCGCGATAAACTTAGAAACCGCAGTAGAACCAGGGCAATCGACATAGCCTAATGTATTAGTAAGCTGAAGTGGCAATGGGCCGGCCATTCGGCCCGAAGAACCGATAACTGATGGGGAAAAAAGGTTCTCGAGTGGCAGTCTCGTACCGGTAGGCGTAGTGTAGGCCCACTAGAAGAAATGATGACCTGGTAAGACATGCAGGAAGTCGACGGATGCAGGTGGCTCAGGACCGTGCTTTGTGGCATTCCTTGAGGGAGGCCTATGTTCAGCAGTGGACTTGTGAAGGGATATAATGATGATAATGATGAAGCTAAAAATGTCATTTCTTTGATCCTTTTCTTCTCGTTGGATAGCCATGCAATGGAAACATTCAGAGCGATGTTTATCTTTCTCCGGGTGTTTTTCTACTTTAGGGTGTAGAGCAGAAGGAGTCCTTGGTCGTTCCGAATTCACAAAAATATCTAGGGAATGATGGTGCTTATTCTGACACATGATGACTGGTTCTGCAATAAATCATATTCAATCATATCATCACTCACAACTCGAAAAATTACGTTCGTTCGGCCTCAGTCTAAAAAAGTATAAAGATATACAAAGTTGTAAATATCGTCAAGAAATGCTTAATGAGTTTGTACCTACTTTTATCCATCTTTACGACAATCTAATTGTAAAGTTATAACAAAGCACACATTATAAGAAGCAGTTCACGCGGTAAGATTATGGAACTCACTACCGTCAAATATAAGAAATTCCGAAACTTTGTTGGTATTCAAGAAACGTCTTAGAGATAACTACTTTGCATCCTGTTAATTTATATATATTATTCTATTATATTAGTTTTAGTTTATGTATATCATATGTAACTATCGTATTTATTATTATTATTATTTATTGT